TCAAAGGATGTTTACTTATATAAGTATTTATAAAGATTTATGCCAAGATATTTCAAAACAGTTAACTGGCTGTTGCATGTATTATGATTAGAATAATAATAGATTATTATGAAGGAATAAAAAAGGAATAATATTTACTATTTTCCAGTTAGAATTTCTATCTCTTAGATATATTTTGCATAATATCAAATCTAACAGCAAGAAAATATTTATAATTATTATTCTTAAGAAAAAAATCTAAAGCTAAATAATATTCCAGATTAGAACAAGTGTAATTTTTATCTCCAAAGTAAAACTGAAATAATAATAATTCATGTTTATATATAAGAGCAGTCACTTAGTTTGCCTTTTCAGAAATTAATTTTTGAACTTTTTGACACAAGTATCTGATAATACTTATTAGATTTTCATAAACTGATACTTATTTAGAGATGTTTCGTCTCTTAAAAAATTAAAATATCCTTATTTTTTAAGATTTATTACAGATGATTCTGTAGAAAATCAAAAGATCTTTTTACTCAGCATTTTAAACTATTTCAATAAGAATCTTATTCCTAGTCTTGATATTTCTCACAAGGTCATAACACCCCCCAAAAAAACAACAGTAATTTGCATATTACAATGTTTTCAGTTTTAAATTCTTTAAAATTCAACAGAAGAGTGTATGCTCTTTCTAAAACACTTGCGCATATATATATACACACACACACACACACACACACACACAATGTCAATTTATTAATAAATCTTTTGCTGATATATTCATCCAGCACTGCTATAAATCATTAGATTATCATTTCCTCTAGAAAAAGAAAAGTCCTAAAAAATGTCACAATATTTATATAATGCTTTTGAACAATCAGTGTGTAGAAATTAAAAACAAAATCACTGTTTGCAGCAGCTCAAGTTTTCATAGTAAACTTATTAAAATAAATAAGATGATCCAATATGCTCAGTTTTAAAAATTTTTTAAAAGGGAACAATTCAGCATATCAAATTTAATTTGAAGTTCTACATTGAAGTTTAAAATGCTGAGTAAAAAGATCTTTTGATTTTCTACATTTTAACATTTCTTTTGAATAAAAAACAAAACTTGGACAATAAATCTTCAATAAAGACCAAAGTCAATGATGCTTATTTTTATTAATATAAACGTACATTTATTGATTGAATAAATTAACATAATTATAAATTGCTCAAATGTTTTCTCATTGATAGAAACAAGTTATGACAACTATAAAAGTGCTAATAATAATCTCAGTTTTTATTTCTTGACTTCCCAAAATAAAATGTCAGTCAAATCTTAAGTGACCTCTTTTATATTAATAAAAAGTTCTAACTGACCTTTTATTAGAAATAGTCATCAATTTCTTAAACAAGTTGTATGTAAATTAGCAGCATCTTGATTAAGTGTTATTGGCAAAACTATTAATTTAGCAAAAAGATTTCCAAGTTCTTAAAATTAACATTGATACTTGAATTTTTACATTTTAAAACACTTAAAAAAAATTATATCTACTTAGAAAAATGAATTTAATCATCAAAAATTTGTTTTTAACTATTAAGTTAATTTTATTAATTTTTTTGATCAAACTAAAAATATGACCAATATCATGCTCATTAAAGATAAAGCACAATGTTAAAACGTATTACTTAAAGAAGTTGATTAATACATTTCATCAATGTACAAGAGTTTTTCTCTTAAAAATTAAATCTCACTATGGGAAAAAAAGCACATGGAGTTTACCATAGATTAAAAAAAAAAATAGTTGAGAAATATATAAATAAAGTTCAAATTTTGGGTTATGGATTGTTTTTTCAAATGTGCACAATAACACTATATCTACATTACCATTAGGTAGATGCTACAGTGAAGTAATAATGTTAAAATACAGAACCAGCAAGTTTGTACATCAATTTAATGACCAAACTCTTCATTATTTCCATTGTATTCTGACTTGCACTTTTACAATGTATTTTAGCAAGTGTTGTTGCACATAGCAAATACATGTTATCAATAACTTCTAAAAATCATTTTCTATTAGTTCATATCTAAACATCAACAGACAATATGCATTCCAATTATTTTTTTAATAAGTTTGCTTCTATTAAATTTGTAAAATGTTCTGAAAATTTTGTAAATTGCTTTTTCAAACTGAGAGATGCTTTAAGTGGATCTATCAACATGGTATTCATTAACAAGCATTAAGAATAGGTTGATGAATAAACACAGCATTAAGAATAGATTGATAAATAATAATTTATTGGAAGGAAAACCTCAGGGTTTGGACAAACCCCATAAATCCAATGAAAGAAAAAATGCATGTGCCCATAAAAATTTTAATTGAAAACATAAAAAGCAATATGAATAAAAAAAAATAAAAAAAAATGAAGTTTCCACAAAAGCTTTTTCTCATGTACTTATTTACTATACATGGTACAAAGGCATCACCTCATTAATTTGTAACAATGTGCAAATATGAAATAAAAAAAAGGAGGCTAGTTGCAAAATAATCACTTTTACTGCTAATATTAAATTCATAGTGAATAAGGTTTACAAAATCCATCTCAAATTCCCAAAATGACAATAAATTATGTTATATTTATGTTTTCTCTTTGATAAAAATGCTCCAAGTGTAAAGACAAATAAATTGGAGGAAAAGGCATCAAAGTATGAACCAACATGGAAAAAAAAAAAAAAAAGAATATATACAATTTCATCTTCTCTTGCCTGCTATGAAAATTGTTTTCCCATTTTAAATTCTAACTGCCTGTTCATAGTGATATTTTGATTTAAATTCTGAAATACAAAACAAGAAATGCGTGACAGGTAAGCAAAACTTAAAATCTTTTAATCAAAGGCTATGAGGTCAGAAAATAAAAGAATGTGCAATTACAAAGCAAAAAAAATAAAAATGTTTATTTTTCTGATTGATAAAATAAAAACAGGTTTTAAAGAAAGAGACAATTTTGAATGCTATTGTTTCCAATGCCAATGAAACCTATGTAATGACAATGAGAAATCAATCGATCAAGACCAGAAAGCAATCTAGAAATGCAAATGATGGAAAGAAACTTCCAGCAGAATTCAATGACTTCTCTCACATACAATAGATTGAAAAATGAAGAGCATAAAAGTAGTGATTAAAAGTTTTTATGTTGTCTTTGAAGTAGAATGAAATACACAGGTGAAATACATTTTTGGCGTTTTTCTGCCATCGAATGCTGACAAAAGTGATTTCATTTTTTTAGTGTTCTAAGCAAAGTATTTTTCTCTTCTATATAAAAAACGTGCTACTACAAATTTATGAGAAAGATGTGTAATTAGTAGAGTTAGACAAACATTTGAATAAGTATCAGAAACCTACACAAAGAGCTTCAAAAACAAGGGTAACGGACATAGGCATGCTTTATTTTTGGTAAGAACTAGATCGATTTGTTTAGTGGTCAAACATTATTAGCAAATAACTAAAGAAACTGCTGATGCAAATCACACACCTAGTAATGATAGACTTCTGATAAAAACGAAAGACAAATATTGATTCAAAGATGTAATAAATAAATAAAAATGCAACCTCCAGTATCTTGCAAGAAGGAGAGTAGAATTCAAACAAGAGAAATCAATGCATAGAATAAAAATGCAATGTTACAATTACAGGTAAACACAAATAGATTAATTCAGTCAAAAGATTCAATTGTAACCTTATATTTTTAGCAATTAAAACTACAGAAAACACTAGACAATAAAACAAAAAGCCAAGAAGAGGAAAAATTAAGTCGTTAATTTTAAAGCTAAATAATCAAATTTGTTGAGCCACCGTTTCATATTTTAAGACAATAAAGCTTGATTTGTAGCAGAGATAATTGCGTGCATCTTATCGGTGTTCGAGCCTAGATGAGGTAAGGAAGCAGTCAAGCCTTCCAGAGAGGGACGCTATATAATCTTCCTACTTTACATTTCTTCCGTTTCGTCCTGTGCTGAATTACAGTTACACTAAGCTTATGTTGATGTTCGTAAGAATTTTAAAGAGCAAAGGAAAAGAGTGCTGACTTTAAAACTTATTTGTAAAAAAATCGATTACCTTAAAATTGAAAACAGAAGAGATAAAAAATGAAATTGTCCAAAGTCATTAAGACACTTTTGCACAAAGAGAACAACGTGTCCACAAGTAAAAAGCGCTGTCAGCAAACAACAAAAAAATATGCTGATTTAATTAGTATTTGCAATCGTAAATATTTACAAAACAGTGATCGATAATCAATATTTATTCGGAATATCCGGCAACAAAAAATATTTATGAAAGTCAGGCAAAACAAACGTAGCGAGGCAACAGAAAAGAAAAGAAAAAAAGCATGTTCCAAAATAACCTCATAGAAAATTTTAAAAATGCAGGTTGAGAACCAAAACTAAAAAAAATGTCTTCTAGATCATAAAATTCCAAGACTGGAGCTCATTAAAAATGTTATCGTTGATGTCTTCTAGTCAGAAAATAAACGTGGATGGAAGAACCTTGCACACCAAGTTGTACGTACACTGCTCTAAAACAACGAGGTCCATCAAACATCTTTATTGTCCATTTTATATGTTAATTCTTGCAGATATATTGATTGAAAGACTTGTCTAAGACTAACATGAAATTGATTGTCCGTTTGTCTTGTTTCTAATCCATCATCAACACAAGATCCCAACATGGCTGACACTCGACTGACTCCAACAAAAAAGAAGCAAGCAGCAAGAATCAAAGACATGCAACCACAACAAAACCTACAAAGCAAGTAGATCCTTTTGATCTCCCATTTAATGTCCAAAAGTTATTCAGAAATCCTTCAAAAATTTGTCCCCGTCTGAGAAGACTACGATTGTCAATAATAAGCCGCCGTGAGCCCGAAGAACCACACGTACGACTATTACAAAACTCCCAATTCATACATAAAGCAATGATCGTATGGAATAACAAATAAAAAAGTGACTAAAATCGAATAAATAAAGTATTACTTACCATATTAAGCGTGAATGAAACATCCGGGTAGCAATTAAATCCGTTCGTTAAGCTCCAAATGTCGAGATGGTTGGAGTCGAGCATCCATCGCCAAGATCTGATCTGTGCACAAGCAAAATGGCGTCATTTCTTCCCCAGGCTTTGGCAGGTTTACATCCGGGTAATCCCAACACTGACCTTTCGGCTGCCATGACCTTTCACACACTCAGAAGCTCACTGCTCAGTTGTTTCAAAGCTCAGCAAATAACCAACGAGCAAAGATTATTTTCTGAAAGCTTTCTAAACAATAAAATATTTGCAAATCTAAAAGCTGAGCTCACATGTTATAGCCATTATTACGTAGTCGGAACTTTTTTTTAAAAAGAAATCTGTTTTAGTCTTTATACCTATTTTCTTGTTGTCTTACATTTTTTGTTTGGTGCTTTGCTAAAATTAAAAATTATTTTAACAATGTTTGGGCAATGTTAAAGTGAAAAATGTGCGTTTTTGTTATTGCTATTTGGTGCTTTTTTGTTGTTAAATCTGCGCGCTCGGAATATGTATGTGTGTGTGTATGTATGTATGTAGATATATATATTTAGTTAAGTGTATGCGGTTCTCTAATGATATATGTATGAGTGTATGTGTGTGAGTCGTTTCAAAACGAACGATTCAGTCAGCCATTATGCTAATGTATTCTGACGTTGTTAACGTTATTGTAGCCCCAACCAACGTGACGACGCTAGATGACGTCCGATGCGACTTAAAAAGAAAGACAGACAAAATAATGCGAGGAGGAGTAGGAATAGGAGGAAGAGTAGCCGATGAAGAAAACGAAAGAGAGAAACAAACAAAATGAGTGGATGAATGAGTGAAAGAAAAAATGAGTTAGGGAGACGAATGAAAGAAAGAAGCAACGAATGAGTGAGTGAGGGTGGTGGTTCGCCTGTTAATAATGCTAGGCAAAAATGAAGAGACCAGCAAGTTACTGGGGAGCGCCAATCTAGGTCACATTGGCTGCTGATGACGATTACATGCAGCAGCCTTGCTAGCTATGTACAATATTATTATTCTGATGGTCGACTGACGTCACGCTTTCTATTCGTCTCATCAAAATGGCACCTTCCTCTCTTCTTAGTTCTTTTCTTTTCTATCATTTCCTTCTCTTTTCAATCTTTCACTTTTCTTCGTCCTTAGCTTTTCCACTCGTCTCTCATTCTGTTTTTCTTCTTTCTCTCCTGTGCTTTGTCCTCACAGACTCCCTTTTTTAAAAAATTATTACTCTTTCTTTTTTCTTCCTTGTTGACTCAATCGTTTGGTTGCTTCCTTGTCTGCTTGTATTTTATCAATATTTTCTTTTACAAATTCTGCCCTCCCATTCTCGTTGTTTATTTGATGCGAGCTAGAACTTCTCTTCTTATCTTCCCTATATAACAATAAATAAATAAACAAATTCTTCGTAATAAAATTGATAGTAGTGGTGGCAAAGAAGAAACATTGTGTTCTCTTTTGTGAGGTCGATGATCTAATAAACTGTTTTTATTGCTTATGCATTATTCTCAGACAGTCTGAATAAGAAGGGCGTTCTGATGTTGTGTTACCAATTCGTCTGAAGTCGATGTCAATATTTGGCCACATTTGGTTTTCATCAGTTCCTTTACCATAATTACCTTAATAAAAGTCACTATATATATATATATTTTTTTACAAGAATTTTTTAACCAATAAGTCGTATTGTAGTCAAGCACCAGAATTGTTACTAATTAATTTCAATGTTTTAATTACTATTAAGCCAAAACCGTACTGTCACTTTTAGTTTTATAGATAAACACAGCAGTGTAATGATTATTACCTGTTTTAATTTTATCATTTATTGTTTTAAATTACATTCGTTTATGACTTTTTATTGACAATAATGACCTTGAGTTCTGATACTTTGTTTAGAGAAAATATGTCGATGTAAAGAAGAGAGATTTAGTCTTGCAAAAGAAACATACACATAACAGGAAAACTGTATTTATAACAGTAAGTAACATGCCGATGACAAAAATGTTGAACTAGGGTCAATAAAGAGCGTGAGAATGAAACGTGTGTAACTGGGTACAAGAAGTCCAAAGTGCACCTAAACATTTCAAGCTACGCAATAATGTTTCCATACCATCGACGTTTGACTGTAAAACTTAAAAATACATCGATGACAAAAATTTCCCTTTTAGGTCATTTAAAAATAAAATTAAACGCAATTTGTTTACAATGGATTGTTTGTGTCTGACTACAGCATTTCGTGATTCTATAATTTTTACTTAGTTAATTTATTGGATTATTGTCACCATTAAGGTTACTGTCTTTTAGAATGTGAACAGTTAACTGTGTTTCTGTTTCCGCCATTTTTGTGACATCTTGTTTCTAAACTGTTCAATGACCTACTTCGCGTGGACGCCATTTGGACCAACTTCATAAACAACACTGCCCACTTTTACTTTTCATTACAAAGATTTATATTTTCATTTATAACTTTTCCTAAAACCAACATCTGTTTACTGGCCAATAGAAATTGTGTTTATGACCATCTTCTATTTTAATTTGGTCGTACTCATTCATGGCCGAAGCAGATGGTGTCTGCAACACATTAATATAAACAGTTCATGAAATTCTCATTAAAATCAAGATGAATCATTCAAGAGCTAAATTATTTTGCACAAACTCCCTTCCAGACAATTACAAAGTTTTTATTCATAATGTAAACTACGGAATATTATCACTAGATTTTTCCATCTTGGTATTATTTTATTTCGTTTATTTTTCAACAAGAAAAATGCGTTACGACGAACGATTTCAGCATAATTCTATATAACAAAAAATACATTATGACAAATAATCGAAGACCAATAATCAATCAAGCGTATGTTACCAGATTTGTGGTGATGTTTTTACTGATTAATATTTATTTACAGGGGGAACGGAGTCGTATAGTGTATTATTACTCTTGTAAAAAAACATTACTAAGCTTGTGGGGGAAAATGCTGTACTGAGGTAATTTTGGCTATCTTTACGTTAATTAATAGGTCACTACTAAGCTAACATTGAAAAATAATGGTCTTGTTTGTAATAAACATAGCAGCCATTGAAAAGAAACAGTTGTTTTTTTGGGGTTATTTTTTTTCTTCATTTTTCTCCTCTTTTTCTTTTTCTAAGAAATCTAACTAGTAAATTAACGCATCTTTTTATTATTCTTTTTGGCTAAGACTAAATAAAAATACAAAAAAAATGCTAAGGAAAATTGACACGAGGCTATCAGTCATTTTCGTCGACTCTTGTTCTCACATAAGAAGTCATGGTAGAGAAATTCATTTATGATCTCATGATTTGGAACAATGTGATGACGAGGAAAGATAATGAGTACGTCTCAAGACTATTTTCCCGTTTTTTTTTTATATTTAATTTTATCCATTTCATTTATTCTATCCCAGCTAATTAACATATAAAATGTTAATCATTAATGCATATCTTTTTAAAAGGTGCCAGTGAAATCATAAAACTAGTTTTTAGTGTGATGTATTGCATGAAAGTTTTGCCTGCTAGTCAATTCAATTCAATTCAAGAGATTTGTATCCTCTCAAGTGGTCCACTGTAAAACCTGGCCAAAACTGGATTAATATCTGACACCCAAATCCCATGGTTATAATCAGTAATTAATTCAGACTTTGGTTTAAGAATAAAGACAGAAAATTTTATAATGAACTGGGCTTGGGTAAAGGATACTGAATAAATCTACATGAAATTTGGAGCAAACTCTTATTTTTCAAAACAAGGGAATGACAAGTACTTTTATTTCGGTCCTGTGATCACTAGCTTTTTCTTTGGTAGTTATCTGTTATCAGAATAATTTGTGAAAAGATTTTTATTGTTATTGACGATGAGCAAGACGGCTGAAAAAAAAACAGTAAAAACAATTAAACAAAAAACAAACAAACAATAAAAGAAAAATGGATAGAAACACGTGTTGGTAAATACGGCGATGAAAGCACGTATTACAATTGGCTAGTTATTGGTAATTAAAGACATTGAATTGATGTTACCCTTAAAAACTATGACCGATACTTTAACTATGCACAAAGGGGCGGGGGAGGGTATTAAAAAGTTCTCAACCTCATCCACTTCTTAAAAACTGACCAAATCACCAAATATCAGATTTTAGGGGAGAGGAAAAGCAGAAGCTTCTGGTCGGGCCGAGTCCATTTCACTTTCACATCACCTCTTAGCGTCCTAATTTTGAAAAAAAAATCCCCTAAAATAAATACAGTTGACTCCAAGATTAACCGTGTGTGAACACTTTGAGTTCCATCTGGAATAATTACTGATGTCACAAAAATTTAAATGTATTGTAGCCAACACGAAATCAATTCAGATTTCAGATCTACTTTTTTAGCCGAAAGATATTTTTTAATAAATAGAATTATTTGTTCTGTCTTACATGAACTCAATAATGAGGCACTTCTCAAAATTTAAAAAAATGTTAAAGCTTTTTTGTTTTTTTTACTCCAAATGAGTTTTATTTTCAAGATATTAAAACAAAAACTTTATTTACTTATGAAAAAAATATTAGTTTTTTTTTTTACCTTTGAAAAAAAATACGCTGCTTTCATTTAAATTTAAATAAATAAAATTGTTTCCTCTACCTTACATTGATTGCTTGGAGTTTTAATTGTTTTAAAAAATTTAAATAAAATGAAACAATTCTTCCAATAAAATTTCGCAATATTCTATTCCATTCAAGTAGAATATTTTTAAAAGAAATACGAAAAAATGCTTTCGTTTGAAAGTAGGACTTATCTACTTTTCAAATTGCTTCGTATGTGATACAGATAACAGTAACACTAATAGCGAATAATTGTGGTTAGAGAAATTGTAAAACTAAGAGATCAACTTATCGGTGTACAACGAAACCCTCATGCGACAAAAAAAAAAAACTCCCAGGAAAAATGATACATGGAATTTTTAAATTATAATTTTCATTTTTCTTATTATTTGTAGTTTATTAATTCTTTTAGTCTTAGTATATAAAATACACTCGTTAACCCTTTCAACCCGACTTTTGCACAAAC